TCCTGCTGCTGGTATTACAAGGTTTTCGTGTTCCAGAGCATACGTCCCTGGGCACGATGTAAGGGACTGATGCTGTGATCTGCCTCTACGCTGGTCTTCTGCCACGCGTATGCTTTGCTCTTCTAGCACAAGTTTCCACTTACTCATCTGTGTTAAGCTTCTCTCTCTGTATTTATACATACACGCATACACACACATATTGGTTTTAAATAGGCACATTTCCTAGCAGGGGAAAAATGACCCTGCTCCTGCCTGTGCGCCCTACTCTGATCCTGAAAGGAATTCTTATCATAAAAGACATATAAATGTCCAGTCTTTTATGTCTTCATTATTTTGAAATGTGAGACCACTTGGCTGCAAGACCATTAGTTTGTGAGTTTAACACAGTCTTGCTTTTGCTATAAGACTTTGATTAGTCTAAGAGACTTTTTCTTCAAAGAAGCTGCCATGACCTATAAATTCCTTGCTAATAGAACTGTTTAAAAGGCCATTTCAATGTATCTTGATTTTTATGGGTTGTGCTTTTGAGTGCAGCTGGTTTGAAAAGGAATACTTCCTATGCAACATGCTGGGCTCTGTCACAGATATCATGAAGATGAACCCCCAGCCCTGCCTAAGGGCAGCTTTGGGGGCAGGTTAAACCGAGTTAAGACTGTACTGCCACCAGGCAGTGCCTTCCTCCTCCTCTTCGTTCTCAATCCCTCTCCCTGCTGCCGCTGGCTTTGGCTATCACACGTGGAAATGCTATACTGCAGTCAGTGCCTTGTGAATAGGTCATAACCATTACAGTTTGCTACGTTAGTGGCAAATTAGAGGAAATTCCTTAGCAAAACATTTTTATGGAATAGTTTTTCCTCTTTTAGGCTGCATTTGAGTAAACAATTTATGCTTTTGGGGACTGATTTCAGAAGAGCTGCGCATGCAGTTGGAAAGTAAGCTTAGCAGAAGCCCAAGCACTTCGCAACAACTGAGTGGTTTGGGGTTTTGGAGGTTTGGGTTTCTTTAAGAAATTGCCCCGATTGTTTTGCATACTATCTATTCAAAGGCTTGTATGCATCAGAAATGATGCTGAAATTGCCATCTGGATTTGCTGCGATAGCTAGCGGTAGAGCGAATAGTATCATTCATTACAAACAAACAACATAATAACAGTCCCATCTTCTCTCGTGATGACATATAATAAGATCTGCATTATAAGCAATCATCTATTTGTGTATATTTATACTGTAAGACAAATCACTTGCACAAACAGTAGCCAGCGATCCCCTTTTTTTCCATTTGTAGCTGCTGCTGCAGGTATTATTTGCACTCCTCTACAGAGGATCTGAGTCTGCCGAGTCGGTTGTTTGATAGGAGCAGTGGTGGTTTGTACTTTTCACGCCAGAGGTACCTGTATCTGAGATAGATAGTGTTCTTTTGGTTTTCCATGAGCAGGGTATGCATTTTTTTGGCAGACACCAATAAATTGCTCACATAAATTATGCAACCAAAACCCAGACTAAAGCTGCCCATTGCTCAAAGTGTGTGACTGATCTCTTAAGCTGAATGTTTGGGTTTTTTTAAATTTATCCTTCTTACCTGAATGACAGCCTGTAGCAGGTATAAGGACACCCCAAGGGACGAGAATAGCAATGACCTTCTGTCAGAAAACAGCACTTCAGTGCTATAAACTGATTCATCTGCGAAGAACAACGAGGAACAAGGTCATCACGAATGGGATCTCCTGGAGAGAGCGTAGCAGAGGATACACAATTCATTGCGGGGGACAGAAGGTCTTGTCCTGTTCCCTCTCCCCCTGCAATCCCCTGAACACAGAGGAGGAAGCCCAACACCAAAGGGTTACTGCCTTCTGCCATTGACGGGTTCATAACCACAACGCCTGCAGTAGTTGTTTTCTTGAGCTGGAAGACAGTATAAAATCATTTTAAATGGAGGTATTTTCATTACCTGTTAAACAGAAAATGACTGTCGCCTTCGTACTTGTGAACGGAAATATTAGAATGAAAGCCAAGTAATTCCCCAAACCTCTGAAACACCCCCCTCACACAAATGTTATTTAATTCTTTTAAAAACTTAATCTTTTAAGAATTTAATCTTGTAAAAATAGTTTAGAGATGCCTATCTTCCTATCTCTCTTTCATTCTTTCCTTAACCATGCATTCTCGAAGTCTTCCAAAGGGTCGTGGCCTGCTCGTGCCCTACTTTAATCAGATCTGTATCTTCCATTTCTTGAACCAAAACAAAGCCCAAAACCCATCCCACTCTTAGGAAGCCAAAACATTCTCCTGATGCAGAAACATTTAGCTTTAAGCATTCCATTAAAAAAGTTATATCATCCAAGTTGTTCCAAAGTTAGATAGCAGATTGGATCATAAAAAATTATTAGCCTCGACAGCCCTATCTGTTGGGTGAGGTCACTACTGTATTGCTATTTCTTAATAAACTTTTTTTGCCTGTGTAAGGCCAACAAATCTGCAACATTTTTCCCTGAGCTGTTAGTAGCCTGAAATCTTCTGCCTAAATGGATTTGTTGGTATTAAATGTTCTGCTTTTTCTATGATTTTTTTTTTTTTTCTAGACAACTGATTTTCAGATTGTGGGGAATGGCAACTCTCCTGCTGACCACCCAAAAAGAGCACAAGCAAAACCAAACCAAATTTTAGAAGTCTGAGACACCTCTCGTGTTGTTAAGTCTTCTAGGCTGTAGTGAGGCAAGTGAATTGTACTGTCACATAAATACAGCATAGGGGGTGGTTGCTTCTCCCATAGAACTCACAATGCATTATTTTTGAAGAAAACAGGAAGATAATAAAAAGTCTTTGAAACATCCCTGGCAATGGTTGTATACCTTGCATGGCGGGAAGGAATCCCAATCTCAGTCGAAGCACTATGTTGCTGCTGAAACCTAAACAATAAAGAGGAACGTGTTTACATGTGAGCTGATGGCTCAGCACTGCCAAACCAACTCCATTCTCATCGCATCCTACCGAGCACCTATTGTCAGTCCTCGTGTACTTTTGTTTTCTTGTTCTCCGGTCAGTGTAGAGCTCCCAGGGCAGAGGAGAGCTGGGTTTCTTCTACAAAAACCTTGAGGAAACAGGAGGGAGAGCTTCCTATTAAAATAAAAAATATCAAACCACTGAGACTTTTTTTAAAGCAGAAAAGGTCAGAGGAGCAACTTGCCGTCTTTTGTAAGGCTTTTGTTTGTCTTAAATGGGCAGGTAATTTGTCAGGTACAGTTCAGTTGCTAGTCAGAAGGAAGTGGAATACTTTTTATATTACTTGGAATAATTTTTGTGACTCTGCACTTATTGTTACAATCTATTGTTTTACCTCCAGCCTGTTCCAATCTATTTGCATCCAATATAATTTCAGAAGAACAAGATACCCAGGAACAAGTGCCAGCCAGTTTGCAATCTGACTATTTATCCAAGGTTTCATTCCAAAGATGTGCACGGTTACTTTGCCATTAAAATCCAACAAACCACCACACCAAGTTATATCTGTATTACAAATTTTACTTCCTACATCTGACCTCAGCCTGGGAAATAGCACTTTTGCACCATTTCCAAAAATGGCAGTGGGGAATCTTTTGGCACAGCTGCCTTTACCTCAACTCTCCTGGTCACTGCCAGCACAAGGGATGTAATCAGGACAGGTTGCACTGCAGTAATTACCCCTCAATTCAGCAAGAGAACTCCTGAGTGCTAAATTACGCCAGAGCCTGAGCCATCTCTTTGCCATCCGACAGATTAAGGCAGTGAAAAAAAAAAAAAAACAACCACGTATTCTGGACCAGCTGGAGATGCATTCTGGTATGCTGATAACAGAAAACTGGCCATTTTTATTCTGCAGTACTGTGGCTGGAAGAGGACATTAATTGTATACAGATGAGATCAAATAGGGCTTTCTGCAATGTATGGAAGGCTTCTTCACATCCGTGGTCTACAGCTCCTGCTAATAAGGATGTGTCTGCTGGTGGCTTAATTTTAATCTCTGTAATTTACATCAGGTCAAGACAGCATCACGTCCTACTGCTGAAGCTGTGTCATATTTCTTAGGAACTTTTTAGCTGCCTTCTCTATTTCATTTGCCTTTCATCCCATTTTCTTCACCGAGTTAAAAGCTTTCATTAAATCTCTATCAGTAATTAGTGATGTCAGAGATCCAACAGCCAATGATGGATAAGCCCTGCCTTCTAACACACAGGGCATGGGGACAGCAGGAGGTGCAGGGCTGCCGTTACAGAAACAAACTTCAGCCTCAGAAAACGTCTATTCCTGACTGTTGTTTGGCTTGGTGGCAGCTCATCAGCGTTTTGGGGTCTGTTTTATTATCTGATATCCACTTTATTTTTAAAACTCATCAGTAATCTAGGAAGATGTTCCTTGTGAATTTTTCAGTTGTTCATTCTCTGCTTCACCATGGCTTGAAATATCTTGGCTTTTAAATTATTTTTCAGAGAGATCTCACAGAATGATGCCTTGGAGGTTATAGAAGCAAATGTGTTTTCCAACCTTCCCAAACTACATGAAATGTAAGTAATGAGCAATCTAAATTCAAAGGAGACAATTATAAAGATCCATTACAGGCAAGTATCAAAGGTTTTGCAGTTTGGTTCAGGTAAGCTCTGAAGAATTCATAGCAATAAAGGAATATTTGAAATCTCCATTTGTCTTTCCCATCTTCTTATCTGACTGTCCCTTTCTTTTTCTGGTCAGCCTGAAACTTATCCTCAAACCACTGCTGATATCAAAAGGTGGTGGGGTCTGTGGTAGGCTGCTGTTTGAAATCATGCAGATCTTCTGCTGTCAAAAAGAAAATCTCAGCATATAGCACCACTACATCATGGGGCAACCACAGATATTTTAAGATCAATATATTGATATATTTCCTCTGATGTTTCGTTTTCTCTTTGCAGAAGAATTGAGAAGGCCAACAATCTCGTGTACATCGATCAAGACGCCTTCGAACACCTTCCGAGCCTCAGATATTTGTAAGATCTTTTGCTCTTTGCAAGTACTATAGTCATTGTGAATGATACAGATGTATTTCTGTCCAATCTGTGCTGAACACTTTTGGTAATAAGACAGGATAATGCCCTGCTAGTTGCCCATTGCAAATCCACATTTTCATCCCCAGGCCTGCACGCAGTCCTCAGAAAAGCTGAAGATAATACCCTCCGTGGAGTATTCACACACACATAAGATCCTTGAGCCTTTCTAAGCAACAGGTTGAAACTAAGTGATGAGAAAAGGAGCTGGGCCTTTTTTCTGTCTATAAAAACAACTTTAGGTTGAAATTCCTACTGAGAGCTTTGGGATGAAATCTCTCTTATCTGTCTTTGCTACGGCTCTGCCTTCTGTTATACTTCATACACATAGTATTAAGCATTCAAATTCTCTTTTCTTTAGTAATGGTAGTGCTATAGCAATGGTTTTCATTAACGTTTGATGTGAGATTTTTAAAACCTTAGAATACAAATGTATTGGTGTATGGTATAACTTTATTTCATCAGCCAGCCTCATCAAGAATGCCACTTGCACAACTGTGGTTGCCACATCTGCTCCCATGGGATTGCCATCACAATTCAGTGATAATTGAAGCTATCCTTAAAATAAACTGTTGCCCAAAAATATTTTCACAGCTTTTAGCGCGTGATCTTAACATGACTAATAATCTCTCCTCTGCATAAAACCCCAACAAAGTCCAATGAAGTCCATTTAACAGTAATTGTTTTTAATGGCCGTAGCTTAAATAAGCTCCCAGAGTGTTCTTTGCTGAACAATGGCATATACACCCAGCAGGATATCAGCTTAACTTTTGTGTGTCCATCCACCTGGGTACATATACCTGACCTTGATTTTCTTACTTACACAAGAACCCTTACTCATCCAAGAAGCCTGATCATGATTTCTACATTTGAGTACATAAGAGTAAGTGCTTAATTGTCTGGTTAGATACTTCTTAAAGACAGGATGAAATCAGGTCAGTGGTCTAATAGGCATAGCTCCCAGTAAGTTAATGAGTGTCTAAGGTCTCTGAAGATCACTAGCATCTGACAGGTTCTCAGCTCAAAATATGCCAAGAGGCATTGGTTTGAATTTGAACTTTGAGATTTAAGGTTTGGACTTGAAGAGATAAGGTGTAATTAGCACTACACAGACAATTATACTTTAAACCCTTAGTGAACTGGAATATGTGGTTAGAGTGGTAGTAGAATTGTCGTTCTCCCCAGTATTTTTACCAATATCTGCTTATCAAATTCACCAGGCACCTTGATAAACTTTACCTTTTTTATGTCCCTAACTGAAACGCAGATTTTTCTCCTGGCAGTAGGGATATAACGCCTTAAATTTGCATTGTCATGAGGAGAAATCACATGGCTTTTTCCTTTGTTTTCAAGCCTGAGTCATTCAGCAGTGACTGCTGTCTTTGAGTAATTCTGGCTACCTATGAACAAAAATCCAGCATTTGTTTATCCCATGCAAAATCCCCAGAACAAGCTGCTATGGGTAGTACAGTTGTCAGGTGTACAGATGGTTAGAAAGAACAGGAGCACATTTATCTCATACAAAATTGAAGAACAAGAAGAAGAAATGTGAACACAGTAATGAACACACTAATTTCAGTTATTTTTTCAATGTGGGACACACAAACTATAAGTCATGAGGAGAAGGTAAATCCCCACTTTAAATATCTGAGGAAGTGGAATTTTTTTCTCTTTACTTTAGTGGATGCTCCCTTTTGCAAACATTTGTCATTCCACGCTCCCATACACATTGGCTCAAATATTCAGACATGCTACCTATATAAAAATTCAGCTGCAGAAGCTCTACTAAGACCTATAGAGGTAATAGATAAAAAAATACAGAGGATTGCTTGTTTAACTAACAATTCCCCACTCCTCTTTAGCTGGTTCTACTCACTGGCTGAAATTAGAGGAAAATTTATTTTTGAGTACTTTTTAAGGTATTCTCTCTTCTGGGCACACAGGACTGGAAGAGACTCCTCAGACTACTGTTTCCCATTTCTTACTGGCTCCATTCCATGTATTCCATTCCAAGTGCTTTATTGACATTTTTTATGCTCTGTACTGTTCCCTGCTTGCTTTTTTTTTTTTCCTGGGGGGGCATTTCCAGAAACACAATGATTTGGCGACTAGAACATTTTCTGTAATTTTATTCACGGCCACTTCATTCACATTCATTTTTGTGCCAAAGCTTTTCTCTAATTTAAATTGATAACATCCATTTTTGGTGTTTACTCCACTAATGGATTTATGCTGCATCCCCTCTATGCCTTCATTTGAGAAGGAAACAAATAAAACGATCCCTCTTGTATGGCTATAAATAGTACAAAAGGTGCAGGCTTCATGGCTGTGAGAGTCTGAACAGATGAATGTGTCTTTCGTGCTAACGACAAGGTTTGAGGTAGCTCCTCACACCTTTGGCTTCAGTTGAGCTACACCAGTTCACACCATAGGGATGAGCAACAAGACCTAAAGTCCCGGTAGGAGCCCTCTACATCTCAGTGAGCTAGGTGTGATGCCAAATTACATCATGCTCAGGTCACTCTCTTTATATACAGTCATACCACTGTGCTCTCTCTCGGCACATTTCTGTAGGAAAGACTGCCATTTTCTCCATCCCCTTGTTTCACTCACTGGTGCTTCTAGAAACCTCCCCTTGAAAATGCAGAGAGTTTTACTCTTTGAAAGAATAGGACCGTTAATTTAATAAGAAAGCAGAAATGTTGATGGAAGGCTACAAAGTGGCAGTTGGTAAAGGTAACCTAGTCCTGGTATTCACTATCCAGTGACATATGAGGAAGAGCTAATTAGTGAAAATAAAAGGCAAGGTGCTGAGGGGAGCTCATGTGGGACTAGAATTTAAAATAATTCAGAAAAGGGTTAAACATCTATATGAATAGAAATGCTATCAACAGCTGTTTGAGAAATGATAACAATTTTAAGACCATGAAGGGAAACTAACAAACCTTTGTACATCACGGCCTAGTTCTCCCATTAACTGCCAGAAATTAGGAAGGAATAGCAAGTGATTTCATAAATACCTTGTGACAAAACAGATTAGGAGATTCTGTCTGACCATACACAGGGTTGTGCATGAGTGGAAAAGCAAACCTGATGCTGGAATGTACTCCAGTTGCCAATGTGGAGTATCTTCTCCCCAGCTGGGGTCCATGCCAGGTTCCCAAATAGCCCACATCCAGGCTCCAGAGGTGGAGACCTGTGTTCAGAGAGGTCCTTAGCCCAACCTTCTGCTGCAAACCCTGCCATAGACCTCTGTAGCCCTTCCTGGTCTGACCCACAGCTCAGGGCAGCTGGCACAGGCACTCCTATATCTCGGCATAAATTGGGATAGCGAGACCCAGCTGCAACCAGCGTGCCAAAGCAGGGGGACTGGGGTACCTGGCTATTGCTGGGATTGTTGTGGTTCTTCTGAAGTTCCCAGCCACTGTGGTAGTCTGGCAGGGTACGAGATGTGTGGTCTGATCCCTCACCACAGTGCCGTCGCTGTGAGAGAACTGTTAAAACAGAATTCAGAAAATCTCACAGAAAAATAAATATTTACTGGCAATTTTCATTTAAAAAAAAGAGAAAAAATAATCAGTGTTGATGACTGAGACTGAGCCTAGGCACCATAGCCCGTCATTTTAATAACCTTTGCATCATGTTGCTTGCAAGGCCTTTTCTGTACTGTTTCAAAAACAATTGTGTCACCACTAGGTCTTATTTATGGGTAGGCAAGAAGCTCTGGCAAGCCTTGTCAGTCTTCTCCTCAGCTTCGTGGGCTCGTTATGGCCACCAGCTGTTGAACATTAATATGCTTTTATCTCTGTCAGCTTGGGGACAAATACATTTCCTGCTCACCCTACTGCCTTTGTCTCCTGCATCATCATTATTAGTATGGCAAAAACAGTAAGGAGAGAAAAGCGCTTAAAAAAAAAAAAAGCTAAAAAAAATGCAACACTGAAATACTCTCACCTTCTAGAAAAACGCAACCTTACCTTTCTCACCAGTCTTTTAGAAGCAGTGAAGAGAATTGTTAATTGGTCTTCTTGGAAATATGCCAAAGAGACAGACTGCTTCAAAATGGTAACTTACTGACCTTTTCATGGGTACAAGATTATTTATCTGGCTCTCATTAGGGAGAGCTGTGGCATTGTCTGTTTAATAATGTAGTGATGACTTTTCAAACCTCTGCTTTCCAAAATTAGTTCTCATGTGCAATCTGTGTCCTTTGGTTCTTTTTTACAGTGGATATGTCGACATCCTGTATTAAGCAATCTGAGCTTAAAATAGAAGGGTTTAAATGTAACATTCCTTTCAGATCAATTTTGAGGGCATACAGCTGGACTGTTGGAGGGGAGGGGAAATTTAGGTCTCAAAAGCCTACATTTTATCTGCAAAGCAGTTTGCATTGTGGAGGGCAGAGCCCAGCTCCAAAGTCTGGCAGCAGTTTGTACTGGCCTGGTTTTATTTCGCACTGGACCTGACCCAGGTGTACCCACCATGCTTCCTAAACCCAAACCGGTATGAGCTGCAGATGCAGCGACGTCCACAGAATCGCTGACCCTTTGCATGGAGTTGGCTCTTCGATAACAAGAAGTGATGCTCCATTCCTTCCTTTTGTACAGCAGCCTCATGGTAAAAGACCTTGCCCCAGAAGTGGCTGTTGTGGGTTATAGGCTCGGCTTAGCCTGCAAGGCTGGGGCACATGAGTCGGAGGAATCTCTTGCTGGAGTCAGGCTCATGTGCAGTATAAAGTAACCAGCACAATTAAGGGACACAAAAATAACAATTCCTAAGTGATGTTGTATTTATCTCTGCCTACCTTGGGTTTGCGATTCAGCAAATACCCACAATAAGTCAATGAGTTAAACTGTGTTCCCAGTTTTGCCAGAGTAGCTCCTACTAATTTGGCATAAAAAAGAGCAGGCATGTTGCTATATCTGGAGACAAGCAGCCAGAATCTTCCAGGAATTAATTTCCGAAATATTTCTTTTTTCTCTGCTGATCATGGTGCAATGTTTTCTTAAGTGCTGACTCCAGTAAGCCTTTTCAGAAAGACAATTAATGCTTTGGAAAGCAGCCATCAGCCATCTGAAAAACAGGTTCTTACCAAGCTGTTTATGCATGGCAAGAGGGGACTCAGTTATAACACAGATTAAAGAGGACACTTGTTTAAAGTGAGGCTACTAAAGATGTATACATTATATGGTAAATATATTGATAAAACTGTCCTGCAGGAAAGATATTCAGTAAATTGGATTATCCACATTCTAACAAGATTATCCACTTAAAGGCCTCTGGAGATTTGCTGGTTGAGTAAAAAGAGAGGGAAGATCTAGGCTGCAGTCTAGCTAAATATTTTTTTAGTTCTTTTTCTGCAATTAATTAAAAGAACATCTTCTACTCTTAATCACCATTCTGTGCCTCTGTGCAATCATTGCTTTGTGCCACCTGTAGATTTACTTCAATATATAGTGATTTGTGAAAGATGCTTTCCTCTTCATCTCATGCTGCTCAGTTGACACCAGTACAAATTCAGTCCTGGACACTTTGGGATTACTGGAAAGATCAGGACTGTGGCATCACCCAAGGCTTTGAATGTGTTTTTTCACACATGTACGGTGAAAGCCCTGCTAACCAGTGTGGCATTTTGGTACGTTGGGAGTAAGTTGCCATTGGGAGCAGTGTTTGAATAGCCTGTGTTAGAGTACCATCATCTTTCATTGCTGCAACATGAGGATTGAGATTTTCTTGGGAAAGTACTGTAGAAAGGAAAGCTTCTCATGTCTTCTCCTCTGTCCTGCGATAGCCACACACTACTTGGCAGCAGTTTACTTCTTCCTTTACCTACTAAAGGAACTGCATGCCATAATTAGTATTTAGCAAGTGGCTCATAAAAAGATCTGCATGAATTTTTAGCATGTGACTCAACTAAAATTCAAGGCAGCTTTCAGCTAAAACCCTGTACTTCTCCAGTAATTTAGAGTGTACTTTAAAATACTGTAAGGGGGGGTCTTCTTCTATTGCTTCTAATTTTTTTCAGCTAACTCCTTTTACAAAGTATAAGTGCAAAAGTACTTTGAATAATAAGGGCCTCATGAAATCCACCTGCTTCATTAATCATGCTTTCTATTTAACTATCTGTAATAGTTTTTCAAAGACTTTTGTAGAGCTTTCTTGGTCACATGTGACAGCTGTTATTTTTACACTAATGCAATGTCAGACCACTCTGACTCCTGAGACGAAACAGTCATGACATTTCAGCAACTTTCCCAAATTGGCTTTTTGAATATTCACTATACTACTTTAATTTTTTCCTGCATACAGTGCATTGCTTTTTGTTGTAAGATGAGACAGATAACAAGTTGGCTTTTCACCATCTGAGGATATCCAGCTACCACCTCAGAGCCGTACTTATACAAGTGAATGACTGTTTTATGGACCTATGAGTGCCCAAATGTAGGATTTGGTTGTCACATGGAGGTGTCCAGTTTCAGTTCAGATTATGAAACCTGAAAGGTTGCAACTTTCCTGAAATAATCCAGGTTCATAATAAACATCAAATGAACACTGTTACTTTTTTCCAGTCACAACCAGTGCTTTTCACCACCATTCAACTATCCAGGAATGAATCTGCAAAAAAAAAAAAAAATCGCATCCAGTAATGGAAGGATATTGTTCTATTTAAGTACCAGGATAAAAAATACTTTCCACATACTACTACTAATACATTCCTTAAGGAATTCTCAGTGACATTTTCATTCTCAGTGAAAGTTTACCTTCTCTACCATGTCACATGTTAAAAATACAAAGATATAACTAAATTTTCAAGAACTCAAATTTTCTCTTTGTTTGGTAGAGACGAAATGAGACATTTTGGTGGCTGGGAAAAACTCCCAGTCAATGGGAGCCCAGCCCGGTCCAGCTCATCCCTCCAGCACTCAGCCCTGCATCCAGCCATCAGCAGCCACAAGTCATCTCCTGCTGCATGGCAATATCATGTTTGTCCTGCCCTTGCTACTGCTCTGGATAACAACATTTGCTTAAATTAGGCGTGGTACAGCTCTGTGGATACCTGTGACTATGTTTCCTTACTGGCTGTGGGCACAGGGTTGTCCATCAATGTTTCTGGAGTGGCGTTTCATGGATGGGAACCACAACGCAGAGGCCGGTGGTGCTCAACATAGTGGGGGGGGGGGGGTGGAGGTAGTTAAATACGGAGGTTCAGACCCATTTCCAGTTGCACAAACTGCTGAAATGTTCCCATATGTTCGGTTCCTTGCTATTGGACATGCTGGGGAATAAAGCATCCTAATTCTCTCGTACTTTCATGAAATAATGTTATTTCTAGTGGAATTAATGTATGCTCTATTGAGTAGAAGGTTAAAATTGTGGTGAGTTGATACTTTTAGAAGAGCTACTAGGAAAATAATTATCTTGTGTCAGTGCAGTTGATTTCTTAGAATATGGTTGGGAAATTAATACCAAGTTTCCTGTGATCATCGGGAGGGACCGTGTAATTATCCAAGGTAGGGTTTCTCCCTTGACTTCAGTGGGCAGAATTCAGCTCATGCTTTGGAGAAAAATCTTTTTACGTTATAATGTCAGGTTTCCTATGAGCAAACCTCCTGTTAGTGGCTAAACTCTGCCCTTTGTGGCTGCCATTTTAAGTCCAGTGTTCTTTCTTCTTTATTAATTCTTGTTTCATTTCTGGGGCAGAGCGAATAATTTTCACATGTTCTCACGCCCTTAGGTTAATATCAAACACTGGCCTTCGGTTTTTACCTGCTGTCCATAAGGTGCACTCCTTCCAGAAAGTTTTACTGTAAGTTTTAATGTCTGCTTTTCACTTTTTAAAAGCTCCCTTTGAATCTTCTCCTGCTCCAACAAAACCTTTCGAAACACAACTCCCCTTTTGTTCGCTTATTAGCTTCACGGTAGCGGTTTTGGGTTGTAATTTTGTAGGGAATGATGATAATGTGGCCCGAAAGGTCTCAGTTCTCTCTGGGTCTCGCTTCTACAAAGTGTCGTAACTCACACTTTACAGACCCCTCTGCCTTTAACTACGGTATGAGTGTGTGCCTGGATGGCCCAGAGGACAGATAACAGCCTTTTACTCCTCTTTTATCAGCTGAAATTCAAACCAGGCTGGAGGCAGTGGAAATTTGTTGCCACCTGGTGACAGTTCTCTGGCCTGCATGGGAAGACTTGCTGATCTAGGAGCTGTTTTCTGTGGGAGGTGGCCATATCACGGGGCGGGGGGGGGTGAAAGAAAAGAAAAGAAACCACAGGGAAATAGCTCTCCCATGCTCATTTTTTTCACTAGCAGTAAAAATGTGCAGAGAATGAAATATTTTTTTCTATGGAAAATTCCAGTGCCAACAGGGAAAAAAATAGTTGTGTAAAATTTTGTGTGAAAGCAGACTTTTTTTTAAAAAAAATCTCTTTTTCTGTAAAAAATGCATATCAGAAAAAGCTTGATTTCTTTTTTTTTACTGAAAAGGTTCTTGACATAAATTTTTCAATCAGTTCTTAGTATAACTGAAAGCAGAAAACCCAGGAAATAAGCAATTATTTCTTCTGTTCCTTTGGATAAGATACGTTGTTAAGGCACAGGCAAAGTTCTGCATGTTCAAATCCTTGATTAGAAGATTTCAAGCTGCAGAAACATTAATCCTGCAATTGTCTTACTCATGATCGTTAGTATAAATTAAAATGCATAGAAAACATAGAGGGGGATGCCTGAATATAGTATACGCAAACATAAGATCAGAAATACATTTCTGTAATACACTTGACATACATAATTCTGAGCACTGCACTTAAGGGCTCCCCAAAACCATCAAGCACATGGAACAGATAGGGAGATACAGAGCCTTCCTCCTGTATACCTTTACGTTTATCTTCGGTCTTAACTAGACTCGAATGATTGTGTCCTGCTGAGCAAGACAAATTTCTTTTTTCAGGTGAAAATCCTCATTTTCCTGTAAGAATAAGTCAGCCTTGATAGTGCTTGAGTCCCAAACTAGACCTTGGTTCAAACCCTGGCCCCACTGAGGTCAGTAAGAAAATTCCCATTGGCTTCAGTTGTGCCGATATTTAAGTCCCAAAGATAGGTCTTGATGGGCCATTGATGGATATAAAGGGCTCGTGCAGATCCTTAGCAGAGAGATACACTTCACTTGTACCGGTGCCACGCTCCCTCCCTATTCCTACCTCCGCTGGCCTCAGTGTGCAGAATGAGGCCTCTGTGTAAGTGTCACTTAGGGCAGAGCTGTGGCCGTATTCAACTGTTGGCATGAGATAATTTTAGAACAACACTTCATTTCAAGCTTTGCAGAAAATTAATTTTGTTCCTTGCTTTCCAACAGAAACAGCATGAAAACAACCATATCCCCAGTCTAAATTATGAGTAATACTACTTAACTTCTTTGAGATCTATTTTGAGCAAGCAACAGAACGTATATCTCCTGTTCCTTTTTCGCATCAGTCAAAACTGCTGAAAGACTGAAATGCCTACTTGTCAGTTCAACAAACTGCATTGACAGGGGTCCCGCATCTTAAGTTCTTAAGCACATACAAAGCTTGTAAGAAACCCTGTTGACATCAGGAGGGGAACAGTTCGTGGGCTGGCAGGTACCCTGCTGAATCAGGCCAAAAAGGCTAATGGCTTTTTCTTCTCCTGGTTGGGAGGCTGTGAGATGGGGTGGCCTTGCAGCCCCTCAGCTTGCATTTTCTGGGTAGGATGTTTGCTGGAGGAACTATTTCATCTATCTCAGGGTTATGAGACCAGAGCTTTTATGCATTTTAATGATTTCAACCTATTTGGGAGGAAAGTATGGGGGTGTTGGAAATGTTTTGCTCCAGCCTTTTTTACCATGAAGGTTTGTGCTCTGCAGACAAAATGTCTTAAAAACTTAGTCATTACTTGCTGTCTATAATACTTCCTCAGATTGAATATAATGAAAAACACTGTGTTTGAAATAGCGTATCATATTGAAAGACTCACAGATGTACAAAAAGGTGTAGTTTCTATTGTATTTTATTTTTCAGAGATATTCAAGATAATATCAATATACGTACAATTGAAAGAAATTCATTCACGGGCCTGAGTTCTGAAAGTGTGATTCTGTGAGTAAGACAAAGCAAATTTATTATTCTTCTTGTTAGCTCATTCCTTTTCCAGAATAGGGTCAAGGAAGCCGCGGGATGGGCACTATTTCATAGGCTTCCACATTCAATTTGAGGTTTTAGACTTCTCCCCTACCCCTGAAATCTCTGTATTCTGTTTCCCTGCCATGAAAAATGAATATTTTTGTGGGTTTTTTTTGTTGTATTCTAGTCTTGCTCTGTATTTTAGAAGCACAGAATAGGGCAATTTTAGTAATTACTGATGCCAAGGTTAAACATATTCCACCTACAACAACAGTTCCATGTGATACAAATTGTGTTCAAAAGGATGGCATGACTCATAAATATTTACAGTCAGACACATCATTCAAAGGCATTTATTACTCAGGCAAAATATATGTAGATGTTGTGGAAATGCGGTATATTTGTACACAATGCTAATGCATTGATACGGGCCGGTTCACAATGCAGTTTCAAGCTGCGTGGTTAGATGAGTCTACGTTTGACTTGAAAAGTCATGTCTTTTAATGAACTATCCGGGTTCTTTGATCCTTTCTGTTGGTATACCAAAACGCACTGTTTGCTTGCTAACGAGCTGCCTTCATTTCACCTAGCCAGTGGCCAGACTGGAAGAATTTCCCACTGTGTGTGTGTGGTTTCCCACACATACTGAAGCAGACAAGCCAGATCTGATTGACTGGTTGGGCTCATGTTGATTTTGGTGGGAACAAGGTCAGATCATCAATATTTGAAGAGAGGCCAGTAACAAGTCACTTACTTAACTGCTGTCTCTCCTTTTTCCCCATCAGTTACGCACAACCTCTGTCTGCGTCAAGATTCCTTAAGTTTTAAACACACGCACAGTTTTCTCAAATAGATATTCAAGTAATCATACCCCAATGCACTGGTTTATCTTTTCTCCTGTGATGACAATATTTGCTACTCAGGCGGAACTTTGTATTTTCAGAGCACTGCACAAGTAGTACTGTATTTGTTTCCACAATACCACTAAGGGGTGAGACAAATATCCCAGATATTTACTGTGATTTGACGATGTCCTGACTCTGCTGTAGCTCTCCCATGGGACAGAGGCCCTGCGTGTGCTCTTCGAGAGTCCCTGCTGAGGCTTTCCTTGTGCTGTGATGAACTTGCCTCATTTTAGACCCAAATTTGGTGGTTTTCTATACAAAACTGAAGTCCCATTGCAATGCAATAGAAGGTTGCTGTTACAGCAATGTTATTTTGTGAAACCAGGCGTGTCAAGATGGCATGAAAAACACCTAGGACCTGTTGAACCCACACATTCTAGGGAGACACAATTTTAGCAGGTTTAGCTGTGGCAGGCTCCAAGCGCATTTAAGCCAGTAATTTGGATTGCATCTGATCTTACGCTGTGCCTGGGATCAGCACAGACTGGAACTCTGGATGCATTTGGGGAAAAAAAAATGTTAGAAATTTATGGAAGAAATTCACCTTGCTTCCAGGTCTCAATGTCACTTAGAGCCTAAGATAGAATTTTCTTGCCCTGAAATAGGGTGTAAATAGTACCGCAGGGGCAGGGGCCTCCTGCACCGGGTGAATTTTAAAGTGTGTTTTAAAAATACTGCTATAGCCATGAAATGGTGAGTAAAAGCCCATAAAGCTCCGGATCTCTGCCTCCATTGTCACTTGTTGCTAACGTAACAGTTAGTGGAGTCAGTAAGGATGCTGGTTGAAGGGACAGGAGAATTTGTCTCAACAGAAATTTGTCTATATGTGGCATAATGAGGTCTTGAGATACAGGTAAAAATTTTTTTTTGCTCTTTTTACTACTTGAATGCAATTAGCCAGGTGACAGGAGTATATGGTCTACACTGTATGGCAACAGTGACTCCAATTTTACGACCTTAGTATCTCATTGCATTAGGATCGTGTTCAGTGAGAGAATGCACTAAGTGCTAATACTGTGATTAAAAGCATATATATCAGCCTGGCAGCTACAAATGGGTAAGATCAATGTAATATAATAAATGTTTTAAATGCTATAAGCAGGGACATGTCTCCCCTCTGTGCCTGCTCACTCATGTCTAATAGTGCTTGCAAGTGAAGGGGACGGTGACAGTTCTCCTGATCCAACCTGACAGACATGGCAGACACGGATCTATGTACATCTGCCTGTCATGCTCGGAAGGATAATCCTTTCAGCCACACCCATAACTGATTTTCATGCTGACCTTAGCTCACTACCTCAGACCTTAGAGAAGTGGGTCGCTTGCATGCTTGGCTTTTAGCGTGGATTAGAAACAAAACGTCCAGATTTGCTGATGGTTTAATTAAATCAGGCCATTTTTGCCATCAATCAGACCTGTCATTGCCCATTGGAGAGGGCGAGAGTTGCCAAGTGACGTTTAAAGCGAGATGAAAGACTGCACCGTAAAGATGATAAATACAACTGACCCAAATGTAAATTTGTACGACCGTGAAGGGAAGAGAGGGAAGGACGTTAAACGTTAATTAGTTAATGCAGTACAGTAAAAACTTGACGGAAAGCCCCAGGAGCTTCGATTCCCAGGTTCACTACCTGTGTCTCCTCTTGGGGGAAGGAACCCAGGGAGGTGGGACTGGGGCAGCAGAGCAGACAGGGAGTGTAATTTGCCAAGGCAGCAGACGTAGGAGGGATCAGTTGCTTTCTGGGCAGTTTGGCACCACCGCCAGCCCCCTCCTGCGCTCCTGCCCGGCTCAGTGACCATCAGCCTCCCTCCTCCATCTGCCCAGCTGAGGACGTGAGACCCCCACAGACAGCGGTCTTTTTTTCTAATAACCAGCAAAGGTTAAACCATGGCCCGGTGTTTCAAAAGCATCTTGAAAAAAGTAAAACTAAAAGTGGCACCGAGAGCACCAGCAGGAAAGATCCTGGTCTCGCTCCTCCCGGGATTAACCTGGAACAGTCCCACTGACTCCGCTGCAGCCTTCCCAGGGGAGCCATGAGCAGCACCAGCATCTTCATCAGCTCTGCCCTTGCTTCACAAACTTACTCTGGCTCTCATCTCCGATGGTAGCGCTCATCTGCCCTATCCGTGTTGGTACTCTCCAAAGCCTTCCTCCAACTATTGGGATCTTACCAGCTAGTATTCATAGAAATTTCACCGTTTGAATATCCACTTAATAATTTTAATTGTTTGAGATCCCTTTCACTGATTTGAATTACATACATTTTAAGTTATGAAGCACAAATAAGAACACAACTTTTTTTTTTTTTTTTTCTATTGCAGATGGCTGAACAAAAATGGGATTCGGGAAATTGAGAATTATGCATTTAATGGAACTTACCTGGACGAGCTGTAACTATTTGTGTTTACTATTGTGAAAAGCAATCAATAGACAGTACTAACCGCTGCAAGCTATTTTTTTAATCTCAGATTGTTTTAGCATAAATATTGTTGTGTTTTTCAGAAATCTAAGTGATAATCACAACCTAGAAAAATTACCAAACGAGGTCTTCCAAGGAGCCAATGGGCCCGTTGTCTTGTAAGTAATATTCAGATATTATTTTTCTCATTATTAACTCCCTAGAAAAGAACAGAGAAGAACACATGAATGCCAGTCTGGATTTCAACATCTCACAAACCCTGGAGTTCAAAACTGGAGGTGTAGTTCTGAACATAAAAAAAAAAAGAAACTGGAAGCCATAACTAAAATTTCAGTCTAGATCCACATTTTTACATTGTCCTCAAGTTTTTTGGAGTATTTGAATCCAGGGATTTAGATCCAGATTCCTCTCCACAGTTGATTAAGGTCTATAAGAGAGTAATTCTGCTTTGTTTTTTTCTGGAGAAAAATGCTGATAGTTTTTTGTTTGAGCAAAATCAAGAAGAGGTGAGTGGGTCCTCAGTGCTTAAATCTGAATTTCTTACCACTGAAGATCTGCCCCATGTCACTGAAGCTTAATTCTGAAGATAAAATCCCTACCCTACAGGAACAGGGATTGGGATGTCCCATCCCCTGTAGAGATAGGTATGAGATATATCTCACACAGTTACAGCAGGATGTCTTTGGTGGGTGACAAGCTGGGAAGCAAGGTCTCAGCAGTAGAGAATTCAGCAGTAAGATGGTCTTGGATCTCAGTCACCACTACCTCAAGCCATGGTTTGCCATGGGATCTCAAAATGCCTGTGGTTGTGCACAACTACTTGTGTTTCTGAGCAGAAGCTGCAACACAGAAGAGCTGCAACAGAGACACAGGAGTCTTTTTTTTGTCTCACCAATTTGTCAGAGCCTTTCTCTCTTCCCATCTACCCTGGATGTCCAGAGAGGGCTAAGAGTCACTCAGAAAGGGTGAAAAGGGGTCAATGGAGTTGTTGGAAGATTTTACACAGAGGTTAGAGTGGTTAGAAATCTAAAAAAGAGGGAGAAAAATGTCTAGTTAACCTTGAGTTCAGATCAGAGCTCTTCTAAAGACCTTTTTTCCATGTTGTGATAGTCAGTGCACCTATGATATAAAGAGCTATGGTACGGGTTACTGCATCCTGCTCCACTGCCATCACTCCCTCAAAGCGTCTTCCTTCTTTGGAAAAGAGACTGCCAGTGGGGCATCTTTTCAGCAGTAATATCATAGATGTTTCTTTGGAAAAGCATTGTTTCCCGTAGCGAAAAGTAAACGCATTTTCTTTGCAGGCTGTAGCTGACACAATCGTATTCTGGAGGTTTATCAAATTGATTTGGCTGTAGTTCAGACTCATTTGATAGTTCAATTTCTAACACCGAGTTATTTGTCTAAGAAGGTTTCTGTTCCATTACCAGTACATCCACTATTCTATGGATGGGAAATTACCTTTTCATCCTGTCTGAGATCATGAAAGAAGAGCCGCCTTACTCATCCATCACTGTAGTGTACACCAGGAATGCACTTTTCACTTGTGGAAATGATTGACCTATAATCATATCCTCGCTGAGGCAAATAGCATTGTTGCAATCAAATCTGTGTTGCAGACTGCGATGTTTTATTAGAATGAACATCAGGATGTTTTAACTCTTGATCTTCCTGAACCAGTGTTCTACAGTTAATTAATACCAACTTCTGTTTTATAATTCAGCATATTAAAATAATGTGAAAGACACACAAACACAAATAGTAATGTCAGAAAGCACCAATCTTCGTCCTTGTACAGGCTGCACAGTTTCACAAATCAATTCCTCTCCAAAACTTAGAGCTCTTGGCTGAATTAGAATATCTCTTTTGGAAAGACATCAAGTTTTGAGTTAAAGGACTTCAGCACTGACAGTAGGCAAGTAAATCAAATAGCTAATTACTCCCACACCTGTATGTATTCCTTCTATACCAAACTACACTGTATTTCTAACTTGGAGTTTCATAGCTTCAATTTTCAGCCTTATTGTTTCATTTAATTATCTTCTGGTGCTCCCAGAGCTGTAGTGGCTTATACCAGCTTTTACTGCAGTCCTTAGGAGTTCTCTGGCTGCGTCCTGACTCGGATGCAGGGCAGGGTATGGCTGTGGTCCATCCTATCCTTGCAATACGGGGGCCATAGGAGAGCTCCAGTAGACCCCCAGCTCGACTGCTGGGTCCCTGAAGCACAGCCAGAGTTCAGTTTAGATACAAGCACGGAGAAAATTGTTCTCACGGGTCAGTCTACCCCTCTCTGATTTCTGCTCCGCCAATCATTTCTTGCTATTTCTGTATGTGCCTTTCAAACCTCATCAGCTGGTCAGTATTTTTGCTAATCCAACAGAGACTCCCGGTGGGAAAGGGCAGTGGTTGGAAGAGAAGTCAGGTGCACTTTGTTGTTCCTGCGCTGGCTGTCAAGGTTGATGACCAGCAGCCAAGCAATAATAACAGTACAAGAACATGTATTCCAGCCACCGATGCCTTCTGGTTTGATTTACTCCTGCCACTTTATCGTTTTGTTCATCATGCTTATTTAATTTATCAAGGCTCTAACTAGAGAGCAACGTCCCAAAGAACCTCTGCACTGAGGTCTGCGTGTGGTGACTCAGTGGAGGAAGTTACTAAACCAGCTGCACAATGTCTGTGTTTGCTGGTCGGGGGCTTGTCAGTGGTGTATCGATAACTATTCCTGACAGACATACCAACAAATCCTGCAGGGAATAAGCAAAGCACTTTCCCTAACTCGCTTCCATTGATGGGCCATAATGAGCACAAAAAGAAAAATTTTTAAAAGAAGAAGAAAATATCTTCATGCAAAAATATTTAATATTTATGAAATTATTTAGAGATGCCCAGAGATCCAGTAACATTTTAGCTATTTTTAAGTCTAGGTGATATTCCTATTCATATTTACTTGTTACTTCCCCCCAGTGCAATAAGAGTCTGGACTCGGTAAAGATTTTTAGCTAGCAAGCCAAAGAAAACAGTTTCCACGCTCTCGTTCAGAGTTATGAGCCCCTGTGAAGTTTCACAGGGCTCTTAATGTTGCCATAAGTGATGCTGTCTGTGGATTCAGGCAGAAAACTGCTGTTTAGTTGCTAAGTCATGAGCATATACTCCAGGTGACAGTTTTCATTAGGCAGCGTACTAAGGGCAATGGTCAGTCCAGGAAACAATCGCGGTTGCTCATTGCAACCTAATAACCTCTTGAAGTGTCCAAGTCAGAAATCAATAGCCTAAAATTTCTCATCAGCTGCTGCTTTTAGCTCCTCTGAGAACCAGGTCAGGCCCAGAATGACCTCAGGACCACAGCGTGGCTTCTCTCAGCCCGACCTGCAGAAGTTCAAAGTGTTTCTGACCTCGCCGGTCTGCCTTGCCTCGCCAGCAGCAGTGATGGCCCCAGGTCGGGGTCACGGAGCGGGGTCTGCGTTTGCCCCTCCGCTGCCACTGCTGATGGTCCAGTTGTCTGAGGTGGTACATCCCTTCAGAGCCTGGATGCAAAGCCTCAGCTGGGGGCACAGCATGGACACAAAGATCATCTTTACCCACCACCAATTTTACTAACTGCTTTATTAGCTGCCCATGAATTTGTTAAACTCAGCCACCCTAAGCTAAAGACCCTGAGTTCAAACAAAGCCATTTCCTGGTATTTTGTTTCGAACAGGGGTTCAACTGTGTGTATTGTACACAACAACTGTCTAAACTTTATTACATGATGCTAAAACCTGGTCTCCCCCTCACATGGCATCACTCTACTGCATTAATACAATAATAAAAACGATTTGTGCATGTTGGGTAATAGAGATCAAATAACATGTTGTCCTGACATTGTACTGTTACGGACAAATTGGAAACTGTACCTTGGAGGGGGCATGGAGAAAATTACAGATATTGTCAGTCCAATTTCTTGCTTAGGGAAAATTCCTTTCTTTTGTCAGAGAATAAAGAGCAGAGCCACCTCAGCAAACACTGGATCAGTCTCAGGCCATGAGAGCACAGGGGCTAACGAAGACCAGGATGATTTTGTGCAGTTCATTTTTACCGTTGCCCTTAAGAGAAAGAAGTGTGCTCTCCTGCTGTCACGAGCTGAGGGACAAAGTTTGTGCCCCAGTGAGGGAAATGTGGGGACATTTTGCCCCGGCTGTTACACCCCAGAGCCATGAGGATGGGTTCCCAAGCATCTCTTAGCCTGGAGATGGAGCACCCTTAGTCCTTCTACCCTTTCCCCACCTGCATGGCACAAGTCAACCTTTAGTGTTTACACAGTATGTTTCCTTTTAAAAACCCCATTAATGCTCTCTTTAATACACTCGTAGCTGCTGCTTCCATCCTTTGACAGCCTGTCCCACACAGTAATTGCCTTCCACATAAATCAATCTCTCCTAACCTCCTGTAATCTTGCCCCTTTCTTCGCTTCAATCTGTGCTCTCTTTGTTTTATAAACCTCTGGAAATGTTTTGTTATTTTTGTTCCTCACAGTTTGAACTATGTCACCCCTGTTTGTCTTTAATCTCTTTTTCTTCCTAATGAGTACAAAAGCTGATAGCCCCAACCTCTCCTCGCATCTGTGCCCCCATGTGAGCTTCTCTCTTTGTGTTTATTGCCTTTTCCACAGCACCTTCCTGTGATGTGACGTTCATGTGGCAAAATTCTGTTGTGATTTCATCAGCCTTTTTTGTCCTGTAACAGTATTCTCGGATGATTGTTGCACTTACTGGGTATTTACTAAACCCAGTATCATATGGCACTGACAGTTTATGTCCCTGCTAATTCATACCCAGAGGGTTATGGGATTTTTTTTTCTTTTTTCTCAGACCAGACTAACATCACTTGATTGCTGTTTGCAGTGGATGTTAGTTCAGGTTTCCTGAAGGAACACCTAATTTATCCCTGGATCCTCTTTTCAGTGTAGATTTCCAGCTGATCTCCTTCCAATCACTACTCTGAGAATGAGTAGGACAGTCTAAAACACATATCCACCATCGAGCAGAAGTAAATATGCTTTTTATTGAGATTTTTTCATATGTTTTCTTAAAGGGATATTTCAAGGACAAGAATCAGTTTCCTGCCAAGTCATGGATTAGAACTCATTAAGAAGCTAAGAGCAAGGTCTACATACAACTTAAAAAAGCTTCCTGATTTAAGCAAATTCAGATCTTTGATTGAGGCAAACTTCACCTATCCTAGCCATTGCTGTGCATTTACAAACTGGAAAAGACAAAAGTAAGTGATTGCGTTTGTTTTTCTTTTTGGTACTTCTCAGCAGGTGATAGTGAATTAAATAAACTTCCTCAAAATCTGGGTAGAAAAGGTCTCTTCAGTGCAGGTAAGTAAATGGATAGAAATAAATAAATATGCAATACGTACAGGTTCATGCATGCTACACAGTACACTGCCTCTCCATTGCAGGGGAATAATAAATTTTGATAGCTGTGTTAGCATCAGCATTTTCCCCAGCTGCGGCTCTAGCCCCCAGCTGTCATGGGTCCATCTTTCACTGGGACCTGCCATCCTGGATTGGCCTGGAGCCACGCTGAAGACATCCCAGAGAAAAAGTTTGATAACTTTTCAGGAGGTAACTGGAGGGAAAGCTGTGTTTGTAGAGAAGCTGGTCAATACTTGGCCATCAATTCAGGAGGGTAACAGAACCACTGAGTGATCTTAAACTCTTCTCTCAGAAAGCCACACTGATGTTGGAACACTGTCCAACCAAGCACCACAGATGCGTTATCTGTCGATGTCACATGCACAACGTTTTAGGACATGATTTCTGAAATGGTTAACCTAGAGTAGACTCCTTTTACCCAAATCAACAGAGGGGGGTGGGAGGCTGGAGTCTCTTTTTAGACTAGCAAAGTAATTTTCCATGCTCGTTTTGGTTTCCCGTTAGCAAGTGAGACTTCAGATATCAATGATTCTCATTGAGTATTTTCAGCTGCTGAGATGATAGACTTTAAATGTACACGTTAACTAGTTAATGAACCTCCTGAGTTTGTGCCACTGGAAAACAGGAGGAACTGGTAGCTACAGAAACTCCTGTTATTGTTGAAAGTTCTTCCTTTACTGGACGTCCTCAAAGACTTGGAATTTGCCATGGCAGAAAAAAAAACAACCTGTGGATCGTTGTTATAATTCAAGATATTGTCTTCAGAAGTTGCCTAAAACTTCAAAGAAAAAAAAACATGCAGAGAAAGCATAAACTCTTAGTAGCTTCTGTTTGAATACTTCTAATAGCCACTTATCTTACTTTTAGCATTGTATTGTCACCAGGCAATGAAAGATAACTGGTCTTGCTTTTGCTGATAGCTAATAAACACCACCTACATGTGTTTGCAAAATTATCTGTGTAAAGAGTGCAAGTCTGGTGGTGGAGACTGCAGTGATAAGGGAACTATCTGACAGAATCTATTCCCTGTTGCCCATTTTTGATCCAAAATTATAAACTTCTTGCTAGGACAGTTTATCAGCAGGAGACTATTTCACGTACTTCTGCAGGCTTATACAGGCAGAGTGCTTGGTAGTTTGCCAAGTAGAAAAGGGTCCAGTCTTTCCAGTGCCGGTGGCAAAGTGACATTTGCCAACGAGTCCAATGGAAGCATGTTTAGTCTTGAATCTGCAAAGGGACCTTGATATCACCATGATTCATAGTTTTGAAGGTACTTGGCTTCTGGGCTGTTTGGGACAAATCAGGACGCAAATCCCAGAATCCATCCCTTAAATTAGGTAACTGGACTTTTCGAAAACAAAGTAAGAGTTACTATTGAAGGAAAGCTACAGGAGGAAATAGCCCAGATCTCGTGGTAAGCTCCCAGTATCTAGTCCCCTCACCTGGGCTTTAAATAACTTCCATGTCATGCTCACCCCGGGGAACTGAAGCCCACAGCACTGACATCCCCCTTAATATAGCCCCACTTTTGGAAGCCTCTGCCCTGGCAAGGAGGACATAGACAGCTCTTCCCACAGCCTGGGCAAGTGTAATTTTGCAAAGAAATGCCAACAAACCGCAGAGCTTACGTAGCCCGAGTGCGGATGGCCAGTGAGCTGGGCTGGAGCATCACTCAGCCGTGGGGCTGTTTCTGGAGCAAGCCTGGTCAGAACTTCACAGTCCCCTGTAGTACCAGGTGGATGCCATGGTAAGAAATAGTATGCAAGTTGGAGATGCTCTTCTTTATGATATTTGATTACTTAAATGAATGTGCATATGAACTGTATCACCCTGGTCAACAGAACAAAGTGGAATGTATTTATATATGTTTTTAATAGTTGCCAGGTGTATCTTTTACAAAATATTAAGCATAAAGGCAAAATTATTAGAACCAATTATTTAGATCAACCTTTCTGGTTAACTGCTTTAAAACTTAACTAAAAATGGCAATTTCCTTCATACAGTCGTGTGTCTTATACTGAAATTGGTGGGAGGTGGGAGACTGATCTCCTCTCTCCAGCTTAAAGAGATGCATTTTAGTTCAGTTTAAATACTGAAGGTATTGCCAGACACTTCTGCAGAGATTGATCACCTGTACAGTAGCTACACCCGCTTTCATTTCAATGCAGTTTTCCTGACAGCTGGCACAAGCTGCGTGTGAATTGAAGACTGCTCAGGTTGTTTAAGAGTTATTAACAGTTTGCAGTGCTTGATCACACAACGTGTATTATTTCTTTGGCGAGAGCTGTGCTTGGTCCAGTCCAGCAGAAATTGCTTGTGGTGGTGAGAACCGTGATGTGACCTGACTTGCCATGCACCCTCACAGCAGACGGTCATTCTCTCGTGGCCATTCTGGTCTCAGAATATTTCCAGGTAGTCCAGGGAGGATAAAAAGGATGCCGCCTCAGCTCCAGAAGTGCGTTTCTAAGGATCACAGCAGCAGTTGGTGCTCAGGTGGGAAATCTGGGAAGGAATTAAGGCAGAGATCTCTGGCCCCTTTCTGACTGCCCCGTTTATGTTAGACTTCCCCTCTTTGAGACTTTTGCAGCACTCAAGAACTTTGGATGAAATAAGTTGCCATAGCGGATCATGCTCGACCACCTCTCCCAAATCCATCTGCACTGGCAAACAGGCGCTGTTGTGATAATGGAAAGCTTAAACCTGTTACAGCAGCAGTGCTTTCTAGATTTTGGAGGATGTTGCATCAAGCATAGGTTCACCAGACTGAGACACAAATCAAAACATTGACAATTTTGATGCCTTTTTTTTCCCCATTCCAATAAGGATTATATGATAAATATTGATCTGTAGATTTCTCACACTGAAATATCATAATGCTGGCCTAACAGAAGGTAAACTTCTTCCTCAGGACAAGCCCAGTGCAGTATGTTGAACTCCCCTCACATTTTTCTGTGACTAGAAAATAATATCTTTGAAGTGCGGATAGGGCAGAGGCTGGATGTTAAAACCCTCAACTTGACAATAGACCATTATGAACTTCTGCAAGCTTTTGGCTTTCTTTGACATAAAGATCACCTTCTGCCTAAAACAATGACATTGATATGACTCTGTCCTTACACTTGATCATTATTCTTTGGAGGAGCTGTCACTGGAAATACTACTTTTTAAAAAAATATGGCAGCCTCAGGAGTTGCATTTGGGCCTCGTCTCATGAGAACATAGTATCAGTTGCTCACAACTCACTCGATGCCACTTTTCAGTGAGGATGATTGGTTTGACATAGGGCTTAATACAGAACTTAGGTCGGGACTATTTGTTCTGCTGAGCGTGTTTCTTAGCACACAAGATCCTGCTGTCACCAGATCCAGACAAAGCGCATAAAATAACAACTTGTACAAAGGTAGTAATTTTTGTTTATTTTTGTCAGAGCACTCTGCCAATTTTAATGTTATTCTTTAAGCTGTCCTTTCTCTAGTTTATTTTTCAGAGGGTTTACAAAGCAATGTTAAACAGTAACAGAAGGTTACAGACTGAATAAATTAACTGTGTTATGATACCTACCGTCTCAAAAGGAAGCAAGGACCCATCCCTTGCCAAAAAACGTTCTCACTTGTTGCTCTGAACGCACCGCACAGCCCAAAGGGCAAACATCCCAGGGGAAAGAACCAGTAAGCAGTCAGTACCAGAGGTTGGATCGTCTTTCCCTCAGGGTTTGTGACGGCCCATCTTACCTGCTCATGGTACAGGTAACCAGCCACCCATCCTCAGAGCAAAGACAGTAACTAATTCCATGGGACTCTGGTTTTATTTGGGACTGCTGGCTGTAAAATAACTCAAGAATTAATAAATTGTAATGATCAGAAATATTTAGCCGGCCTTACATAGCAGTCTTGTCAGGGGATAGATTTAGCTCTGGGTAGTGCCTCCATAGTTTGGAAAAAGTTTATTTTTAACTCATACCTGAGAATGATTGGATAAAAACATTTCCCTCAGTTCATTTATGAAGAACCACCAATTGCAGTAGCTTTCAGTGCCCTCAAGTGCCCGTTGCACTCAAAACTGAGGGACTTTCTCTCCCGTTATTGCTCCTTGGAAGCACATATTCCCTTTCAGCTAGAAAACTGTTGATATATTGATCAATACACTGGACCCCTCACTCATCCTTATGCGAGCAGAACACAGGGGAGCAAAATGTAATGCCTTGTTATTGCTATTGTGACCTTCATAGTGCATATTTGACCGCACAGCAAATCAGTTTTCTGCCTCCGTTGACAGGCAAGATAAAAAATATCGATAATAGTAGAGGATGCTCAGAACCTCAGAGGAAATGTCCCTCACCTCCTGGTGCTGAGCCTTCATTAGTTTTCCTCTCTCGCAGACCTTTTAAACTCAATTTTTGGAAGATGCAGTGAGTGCACAAAGTCAAAGGGTAAAATTAGGTTACAAAAAAGAATTCTCCCTTTTAAGCTGCTACCAATTTTTGAAAATTTCAGCCTAACTTGCCCAGAAAGCTCTTCTCTCAACTGTACTGCAAGTCAGGGTGGAAGATAAGATGGGGTCCTGTCCTAGAAATTGTACACCTAAGTTTCTCTCTGGGCTGTAGATGAAAGTAGGCAGAGCTGAACTGTGTTGGTTTTGCAACACATTCTCAGCTGTTTTATTCCCTAACTCAGATTAGGTCTGGATCCTTTTTATCCAAGGCGGTGGATGCAAGTTTCTGGGACAGCAAACATCAAAGGTGACAGGAGAAGCAGTTGTAAAGTCTGACCCTTTATTTCCTGTTGATACGTCTTGATGTTTCTTAGCTTGATGGAGCTGATCATCTTTCTATCATCTCAGCCGAAACATTTGTTTCGTCTGTTGTCTAGGCATGGAGAAGGGCATAGAGTTAATACTCTAGGAAATAAAGCCAAATACAAAACTATTAAAACTCACTAGGTTTACCAAAGACATTTTTTCTTGAAACTCTTTTCCTTTATTTACCTTTGCTACCGAAACTTCTCAAAATGTTTAAAAAAGACTTTCTGACAGAAACAAAAGCAATTGCCGTTTCTGTAGAAATGTTGGTATGGTTTAGTTTGGTTCAGCATGGCTTGGCTTGGCTTTGCTTCACTTGGCTTGGTTTTTAATCCATTTTCTTTGAAGAATAGTTTTTAAGCAAAATGTTCTACCATGACTTATGTTTGTATCTGTGTTGGCATCTGGCTTCTAGGGATTATCTGGAAGCCTGCATGAAGTTATTTGTGCTACTTATTTGTGTTACTGGCCAGTTACCAATATGATACGAGATACTTAAAATGAATGGCACAAACTGGAGTTGTTCTGTGCCCTGTCAGAGTTATTAAGACTGAATATGGCACACTGACTGTCAAAAACTTTAGGAAAATGGGAGTCTGAGAGTAATACTAAGGGATAGTAGCACAACTGTAATTATACAGACTCCTATGGGCATAGCTGAATTGACTCATTCTTCAAAGCTCAGTCTTACATTGGAATTCATCATCATGTATTCCCCTCATGCAATAATCACCTCAATGACAGGTTATGTGAGAAATTTGGTTGAAATAAAGGAGGCTTCTTCTTACAGAATGCATTGTCCAGGTGCATAACTGCATCGTGAGTGTTAGTAAGCCAAACATTAGACGTTCCTTTCCCTTACATTTTATGATGTTTCCAAATAATTTACACTTTCCTGTAGTATTTTATAAATAGGGATCAGACAGACTATTAATTTCAAGCTCCAGGGTAGTCTATATAATCAACTAACCAGAAAAACTGAGCTGGTAATGGAAACTGGATGGTTTTGTGTTTGTTGTTTGCCTTGTGCTGTGTCTCTTAGTTTCCAACTCGACTCTTTTTACAATTTCAGCACTGAATTACATCCAATATGTAGCATATCTCAGGCCAAGCAAGATCTTGATGAGCAGCCCGGCGATAAGATACGTAGACGATCTGCAGCTGAAGATTATATTTCCAGCTACAGCATGGGATTTGACCCAGCAGAGAATGAGTTTGACTATGGTTTATGCAATGAAGTAGTTAATGTAGCTTGCTCACCCAAACCTGATGCTTTCAATCCATGTGAAGATATCATGGGATACAACATTCTGAGAGTCCTGATATGGTTTATCAACATTTTAGCTATCACTGGGAACATTGTTGTCCTTATTATTTTAATAAGCAGTCAATACAAACTCACCGTACCTCGCTTTCTAATGTGCAATCTTGCATTTGCAGACCTCTGCATAGGAATCTATCTGTTGTTTATTGCATCCGTAGATATCCAGACCAAAAGCCAGTATTACAACTACGCCATAGACTGGCAAACGGGGGCAGGATGCAATGCTGCAGGATTTTTTACAGTGTTTGCAAGTGAACTCTCAGTCTACACACTGACTGTGATAACTCTGGAAAGGTGGCACACCATCACCTATGCCATGCAACTGGACCGCAAGGTTCGATTTCGTCACGCTGTGATTATAATGATTTTTGGCTGGATCTTTGCTTTTGTGGTGGCACTTCTTCCCATATTTGGAGTCAGCAGCTACATGAAGGTCAGCATCTGTTTACCCATGGATATAGAAACGCCTTTTTCTCAGGCTTATGTTATGTTTCTTTTAGTGTTGAATGTACTTGCGTTTGTGATTATATGTGCCTGCTACATCTGCATCTACTTTACTGTGAGAAACCCTAATGTCATCTCTTCAAACAGTGACACCAAGATTGCCAAGCGCATGGCCATACTGATCTTCACAGACTTCCTCTGCATGGCACCAATATCTTTTTTTGCAATATCAGCCTCGCTCAAGGTTCCTCTCATCACAGTGTCCAAATCCAAGATCCTTCTGGTTTTGTTTTACCCCATCAATTCCTGTGCTAACCCTTTCCTCTATGCCATTTTCACAAAGACTTTCCGCAGGGATTTCTTCATTCTGTTGAGCAAGTTTGGTTGCTGCGAAGTGCAAGCCCAGATTTACAGAACAGAGACCTCCTCGTCTGCTCATAATTTCCACACGAGAAATGGCCATTGCCCTCCTGCATCAAAAAACAGTGGTGGGACTATTTATTCATTGGTTCCTCTGAATCACTTGAACTGAAATGCTTGCATGAATTTGTGTCAAGGCAGTGTGATAATCACTTTCAACTGTGAATTTGAACAATGAGTTCAGCGTAGCATGCAAACTTATTTTTTATGAGAAAAATATTTTATTTCCACTTTGCTATTTTTGTTCAATGAACAGCCATCAGAGATGACACATCATTTTCATCAACTCTCGAAGAACAAAGAACAAAACTTCAGTATGTGCCAAAGTGCTCTTGTAGAATTGTCTCAAGAAATAATGAGATTAAAAACTGGTATCTCCTACCATACAGGAAGAGACTCCCTTCATTCTAGGAAGATGTTAGCTGCTTATTGAGAATTAACTAATGTTTATATACAGTTGAAAGAAAAAAATACGTAGAATTAATTTTTTTGCCTGTGAAGCATGTTATAACAGTGACAGATAATTAGCTCTTTTCATTAATCGTATCTCCTGGGGTTACAGGAGACAGAAGGCCAACTTAAAACCCTCCTTCAGCACAGACATTCTGGGAATGAGAATATCCTGGGTTGTTTCCATTTCTGTTGACCACAGCAGAGGGGCAGGAGGCATTTCCAGCTATGCTGATGTTTGCTCTTCCACATTGCATGGACCTGCCTTACTCTGCACAAAAGTGTCACTTTGGGTAGGACTTGTGTTGATCTGGAATGGCAGGCTCAGAGCACCAGAATTCATCTGACTTTGGATCAAGGAGTTTGGTTTGGGGTTTTTTTTCAAGGTGAGAAAGAGCAAGAGTGAGAGCAGGAGAAACCCTTCATAGTAACAGGGATGTTTTCTCAAGTTGGTCTCACAAAGTTGGGCTGAAATCTCTATTGGGTGACTGGACCCCATGGGTAATGCAAGATGGGCCAGCTGGTTACTCTAACACGATACCTGAGGCAAGTTTGCCATACAGCAGTATTAGTGCATTACGCTGTCTGGGCTACGTAAAGGACGATGAATCCAGATGTGGCTTTTGAAAACTTGAACAAAAGTTTCTGTGAAATCCTGAAAGTTCTCTTTGCCCTTCCCTTCTGAAAAAAAAAAAAAAGAAATCCTTCTTGTGCACATTATCAGATGATGGGCCAGATTGAAAGAAATCATATGCTGCATATGTTGAAATAACAGAAAAAAAATTCCTTAACCAAGATTCCCTTATTTTACACAGGTTTTGAATAACATCTCAGTGAACATACAGACTTTTTCCATGATTTGAATATCAAACTTTTTGAAGGTTAATCATTCCAAATCACACCAAAGATTTAGGGTTGGGTAGGGTTTTCGTATGCTGATTATGTGTCTATGTGTGGGTATCTGGGCAAAAAGAAAACACCAGGACAGGAGTCTGGGCTTCATTCCCACCTCAAACAATTCATGTTTTTGCCCCATGGATTGTAAATCTTTGGTGTCTTCATGGTTAAATGTGATGTGCTTTGAGTATTTCCTGCCTACAGCTCCTAAAGTTTCAGTAGCAATTCTTGATGTTTCTATCCATAATTTCTCCTGTCATCAGCTTCACATTTCAGCATTTGAGCCTGATGTGAATAACTACCGGAGATGATTATTCAGTCAGTCCTAGCCAGGGAAGGAAGTATCAGCTCCCCAGTGCATAAAACAGGGGAGGTCAAAGACAGCGT